TTGCATTGCCCGCATGCATTGCATCAGGTCGTTCAACTGGTTCTGGCTGGTTGCCAAAGGGACAGCAGTTGGTTTAGTAAAGGTTGTTTCGATAGGGAGAGGAAAGGGGATGCTCATGGCARGAAGGTTTACGGGCGCCACTGCTTGTGGCGCATTCAAGCTGGGGATCCCATCCACTGAAAGGGGGATGGTGAACTGTCCGACACACACCATGGGGACTTGAAGTTGTTCCCTGGTGGTGTTTGTCTCCGTGCCACGTCCGGCGTTGCTGGAAGAAGCCATGAGTGTTGGGGTTTTTGGAGAAAAGAGGTTATGAGAGTAGAGGGAGGCTTTTAGAAGCGAATATCCCACAAACGGTGCCAATTGATGGTGCGCAATCCGACCGGTCCTAGCTATCAACGACTTTGCCTCTGAACGGAGCTACAGGGAACCTGAAACGGAGAAGAGAAGGAAGCTCCTGGGGGAACCCGGTGGGATGGCTCCGAAGCTCAAGTTAGAATTCTCTCAAAGGCAAGATAAAACCAAATGGCGCAAAGTTCACATACCTTGCTCTTAGGGGGTAGGGAGCCTTTTATAACCACCTCGTGCACTCACTTCTAAGCTTCTGTCAGGTTGGGTATGATTACCTCTGGGCTCCTACCAGTTCGGGTGTCATCCCCTCTGCTGGACAGAACCGCCACTGCTCTCTTTGTCAGAGCCGTCTCTACGACTGGCGATGATGGTGGCAGGTGGCCGTTGAAGTGCAGCTGTCAAGCGTCAGATCCCAAGTCAGTTAGGTGCGCCGCCCTTGGATACGGACCTCCTCAATGTCAGGTATGGTACGTTTGTTCAGTTCGGCATCCTGGAGGCGAAGTGCTGGAGTGGTGAGCAAGGTGAAGTCTTGAGTTCGGATAGGGGAGTGTCCCGAACTGCCATGAGGCGGGCCAGTTCGGGTCATTGCCTTGTGTGAGGCTCGGAGCCTAATGGAGAGTTCGGGCTCCTTGTAGGGAGTTCGGGCCCCTAGTAGGGAGTTCGGGCTCCTAGTAGGGAGTTCGGACTGCTGGTTCCTCCCTTCGGTGCTCGCGCCGTGGGCGCGCTGTTGTGCCAAGCTGTTTGCCTTTGCTACGTGTTGAGTGATTACGAGGTCGGGCCAAATCTTCCTTCATCATATACCTTCATTGTGAAAAATATATTGGGTAACGAACGAATCAATGACTCCTTCTTTTGTGACAATAAACCAATTCAATGACTCCTTCTTTTGTGAGATGTCGAAGAAAATGGTTTCTCACATCTATGTGTTTGCTCCTACCATGTCAAACTGGATTCTTGGATAGTTTTGTGGCTGAACTATTATCACAATATATCCGTATACTCTCCTGCTTGAAACATTGCACAATTCAAATATTCTTTTCAACCAAATAGCTTGACACACACAAGAAGCTGCTGCTATAAACTCTGCTTTTGTTGTAGACAATGTAACAACTTGTTGTTTCTTTGATGCCCATGAAACAGCCCCTGAACTCATCATAAAGACATGACCAGAAGTACTTTTTCTATCCTCTAAGTCTCCTGCATAATCACTATCACTGAAGCCAATAAGATCTAATCCTCCTTTTTGATAAAAGATACCAAAATCAAGTGTACCTTTCAAGTGGTGTAAGATTCTCTTTGCAGCAAGGAGATGAAGCTCAGTTGGAGATTCCATAAACCTGCTAATTAAACTTATAGCATACATAATAGCAGGTCTAGTTGCTGTTAAGTACATCAAACTTCCAACAATTTGCTTGTATAAAGTACTATTAATTTTCTTTCCTTCATAGTCCTTCATGAGCTTCAAACTTGGTTCAATTGGAGTTCCCACTGAGTTACAGTCCATCATCTGAAACCTATCCAAGATCTCCAAAGCATATTTCTTTTGTGTGATGAAAATCCCAGCTGCTAATTGCACTACTTCGATGCCAAGAAAATAGTGCATCATTCCTAGATTGGTCATCTCGAATTCTGCCATCATGGACTTTTTAAACTCCTCAAACATTGCTTGATCCCTGTGTAGATTAAATCATCCACATAAAACAAACAATCAGAATTTTCTCTGCAGATTCTGATTTAATAAAAAGAGTATGCTCATATGGACATTTTTTAAACCCAGCCTTGGCAAAATATGTCTTAATGCGGTTGTACCAAGCTCTAGGTGCTTGTTTCAGCCCGTATAAAGCCTTCTTCAACCTATACACTTTTTCTTCACTTCCTTGTTGCACATAGCCAGGGGGTTGATCTATAAAAACCTGCTCATCCAGATTGCCATGTAGAAAATCTAGTTTTACGTCCATTTGAAAGATTGGCCAATAATTTTGTGCTGCCAAAGCCACCACCATTTGAATAGTATCATGCCTTGCAACTGGAGCAAAAACTTCCTTGTAATCAACGCCAAATTGTTGCTTGTATTCCTTTGCAACGAGTCGAGCTTTATACTTGTCTACTTTGCCATCTTTGTTCAACTTAGTTTTGTAAACCCATTTAACACCAATGGATTTTTGTTCTTTGGAAGTTTCGACAGCTCCCATGTGTTGTTTCTCTCTATTGACCTGATCTCTTCATCCATGGCTTTTTGCCATTTTGGATCTTTGACAGCTTCTTGGAAGGTTATTGAATCACAATATGATAATAAAGCATAATGAGCAAGAGTATCATCAGAATGATCACCACTAACCTCATAATCCTCCATCCATGCTAGTCTTCTTCTGATTCGTTGAGATCTTGAACTTGCACCTTCTGTTTGAGCTTCAGTGACATCAAGTGGCTGCTGCAACTGATGGTCAGGTTGTAATGACAAAGGTGTATCAGAAATAGTTTGCATTTATGCTCCTTTTTCTTCAAAGTCCACAGGTATTGGTTGCTTTCCTGTGATTGGATTGAATAACTTGTAAGCCTTTGACTGCTCACTAATTCCAAAAAAGACACATTTTTCACCTTTGTCACCCAACTTCTTCCTCTTCTCATCGGGAATGTGTGCATATGCAATGCACCCAAAGACTTTAAAATGATCAACCGATGGTTTCCGCCCATCCCAAGCTTCTTGTGGAGTATGAAAAGAAACAAAATGGCAAAGAACCCAGCCGATCAGTTGCAGACCTTTCCCTTTCTTTTCCCCCTGCTCTCTTTCAAGTTGAACAGGAGGTGTATGAAAAGAAACAAAAGCAAAGAACCCAGTCGGTCTTAAACTAGAGAAGAGGAGAAATACTAAGCAGGAAGAGAAGGGTTTTGAGATGAAAAAAGCTAGCTTGCTGGTTGATGGAAAAGTTAGGTCAGACAAGACATATCCAACTGGTTTCATGGATGTTGTGTCAATTCCCAAGACAAATGAGAATTTTCAACTTCTGTATGATACAAAGGGTCATTTCTGCCTCCATTCTATCAAGGATGAAGAAGCAAAGTTCAAGCTCGGCAAAGTTCGACCAATGCAATTTGGAGACAAGGGAATTCCCTACCTGAACACATATGATGGTCGTACAATCCACTATCCAGACCCCCTCATCAGGGCTAATGACACTATCAAGATTGACCTTGAGACCAACAAGATAACAAATTTCATTAAGTTCGATGTCGAAAATGTTGTTATGGTGACAGGTGGAAGAAATAGGGGGCATGTTGGAATCATCAAGAACAGGGAGAAGCACAAGGGAAGCTTCGAGACTATTCTTATTCAGGATGCAACAGGCCATGAGTTTGCTACTCGTCTAGGGAATGTTTTCACCATGGGCAAGGGGACAAAGCCATGGGTGTCTCTTCCCAAGGGAAAGGGTATTAAGCTTTCCATTATTGAGGAAGCAAGAAAGCGCATTACTGCAACAGCAGCCTCAACCGCCTAAATCATTTAATTTAGTAGGTTGGCATCAGTGACTCTTTTGCTTTTAGATCTTTAGTTTTGTTCTTTTTAATATCAATATCATGCGACTTGAGGTCATGATCCAGTGCTACTGACCTTGGTGGAGCCATCTCATCGGGCAACTCCTAGCCTCTAAGCACACAAAGGCTTGTCCTAGCCTACCTTGGCCTGGACGCCACATGGGTTTCTTCCATTGTAGAACTACCCCTGTCACAGTTGATATCAAAGCTAATCTATTGACTGTTTAGAACTCATGTAAAAGGCAAAGCTAATCTATTAACTGGAGAGCATAATTTTATTGATGAATTTAAACCATTAAATACAACTAAATCAAAGATGTACGTAGCAGAAAAATAGGCAACAACTAACCCATGACTAAAAACTCCTAAGCTCATGACTTTTTCCTAAAGAATTGGTAAACACTACCTAACTTCCTAAAGAATAGGATTACAAATTTATTCTGCTGAATAACAACAAAATAATAAACTTTAACACCCTCCCTTAATGCACCTTCACAAATGCACCCAATTTGAGAGGCTTGGTTAGTATATCTGCAACCTGGTCTTCACTGTGACAATAAACCAATTCAATGACTCCTTTTGTGAGATGTCAAAGAAAATGGTATCTCACATCTATATGTTTTCTCCTACCATGTAAAATTGGATTCTTGGAAAGTTTAATGGCTGAACTATTATCACAACATATTTGTATACTCTGCTGCTTGAAACAATGCAACAATTCAAGTATTCTTTTCAACCAAATAGCTTGACACACACAAGAAGTTGTTGCTATAAACTCTGCTTCTATTGTAGACAATGTAACAACTTCTTGTTTCTTTGATGCCCATGAAACAGCCCCTGAACTCATCATAAAGATATGACCATAAGTACTTTTTCTATCCTCTAGGTCTCCTGCATAATCACTTTTAAGTAGTGTAAGATTCTCTTTGCAGCAAGGAGATGAAGCTCAGTTGGAGATTCCATAAACCTGCTAATTAAACTTACAACATACATAATATCAGGTCTAGTTGTTTCCACAATACATAATATCTAGCAATACAACTCCAGGAGCTGGTTCAGCCACACCTATTTCCACAATAGTCCAATACTTCTTGGATCGCAGAAAATTCTCCATCAACATACTCCAGTGATCATAATGACCATCAAAGCGAGGAATTGCTAGTTGCACATAGCTGTTGTCTGATGCCATTGTCGCCTGCTGGTTGTCTGCAAAAGAACAAAATAAACCCAAAACCCTTGTTGGCTCTGAGACCAAATATTAGTGCTTAAAACTGTTTTGAACTCACATAAAAGGCAAAGCTAAACTATTTGCTGGAGAGCATAATTTTATTAATGAATTTAAACCATTAAATACAACTAAATCGGAAATGCACGTAGTAGAAAAGTAGGCAGCAACTAACCCATGACTAACAACTCCTAAGCTCGTGGCTTTTTCCTAAAGAATTGGTAAACACTACCTAACTTCCTAAAGAATAGGATTACAAATTTATTCTGCTGGATAACAACAAAATAATAAACTTTAACACAGATTGCCAATCAACTGAAACTGAAAACTTCCAACTTTCCAAGAAATTAATGATAGAGATGCTACAATCCCGAGAGAAGTCAAGTCAAACAACACGTAATATTTCAAGGGTTTTTTTTATATATATTTTCCCTCCTTTCCCGAGTTGATCTCCATTAAAGTTGCTTTGAAGAGATCCAGAGGTCTGATATTAGATATTACCTTCCTTGTTGTTGTTTAAAACCATGTCGTCACTCTTGATGCGAACAATTGGGAATTGCATCGTCAGTCAAACTAACTTGTGGATGCCGTGCCGATGCGTTCTCATCACATGGCCACTAGTGTCGCGACCAGATTTGAACGCGTCCTTACAAGTATTATTATGGTGGGTTGATTTGGCGAGTTGGCTTGCCCGTCTAATCAAATCATTAAATTAAGAATTGCAAAATTTCACATTTAAAGAGGAGGGAGATTACGTGTTCCGTGAAATTCATGAAGGCTTCTGCGGTATAGCCTTGGCCCAAAAGGCACTAAGGTAAGATGCAACCAAACTGATACGGAAGTGTGATAAGTGTCAAAGACATAGTATTTGCCACTAACCAGCCACAACACTATCGACCCTCAGCAGTCCTTGGCCCTTTGCTAATTGGGGCATGGACCTCCTCGGCCCCTTTCCACAAGCAATGAGAAATAGAAAGTACCTCGTCGCCATCATCGACTACTTCACCAGGTGGGTTGAAACCGAATCCCTGGCCACCATCGCAGTTAGGGTAATCCAAAGTTTCTTCTGGAAAAACATCATCTGCCGCTTCAGCCTCCCCCACATGCTGGTCACGGACAATGGGAAGTAGTTCGACGACGGGAGGTTCAGAGAATGGTGTGCCTCCCTTGGCATTAAGCAACAGTTCACCTCAGTAGGCTACTCTTAGACGAACAACCTAGCCGAGGTCACCAACCAAACTATCCTAGATGAACTGAAGACTAGATTTGATAGAGTAAAAGGCCTATGGGCCGACGAACTAAATAGTGTCCTATGGGCATACCAAATGACATCTCAGACAACCACGGGAGAGACCCCATTCAACCTAACTTGTGGCACCGAGGCCATCATTCCAGCAGAGATCGACCAACTAATAATTTGAACTGAGGTATACAATGAGGCCGAGAATAGTGAAACGCTTAGAGCAAACTTGGACCTATTGGAAGAAGTCTGAAAATAGACCCAGATTAGAGTGGCGGCCTACTAGAAGAGAGTGGTCCACTACTACAACTCAAGGGTCAAAGAGAGGCACAACTGAAAAAGGAGACCTCGTCCTCAGAAAAGCCATGGTGCCCAAACCTGGCATAGGCAAGCTCGGTCCCAACTAGGAAGGTTCCTATAAAGTCAAGCAAGTCATTGTCCCTGGCACCTTTCGGCTCGAGAACCTAAATGGAAGACAAGTCCCTCAGACATGGAACTCGGAGAACCTTCGTATGTACTACCAATGATTGTAATCCCTATTAGCTGAACAATGAATAATAGTGCAAAGTTTCTCCTCAGCTCATTCTTCAATGTGTGTAATTTCTTAATTCTAAGTGGCCAAGACCCCTCGACTGCACGACCAACCGACACGCATAACCTCCTCTAAGGCCCCTACGCTTGGGCTAGATTGTGGTTGGGACATACAGCTCGTCTTGAGCCAAACGTCTGTCCAACCTCTGTAGAAGAGGCAAGGACAAGTAGGGGCCTTAACTGCAAACCACAATAAGCACACTTGACCTATAATGAGCAAAAACAAAACTTAAGTACCTTGTCAGGAAAAGCAAGCCAGGTCAGCCTAGGTATCACTCACCTCGCCCCAAGCCTCGAAGGCAAGCAGCCACCTTGGCTCCACAACACCTACCATGAAAATGGAAAGAGGAACGTAACCCCGATTGCCTCGGTGGTTCGCATCAGCACATAACTCTGATCACCTCAGCAGTTCACCTCGGCCTCGCCTAAGTCGATACTTAAGGGAATAAAAGTAAGCCAATCGAGCTACACCTTGGTGGTATAGCTCGCCCTCGGACACACCCACTAACTTCCTAAAGCGAGTGTCTAAGTAATGAGCCACCTTAGGCTATTTTTTGCCCACTTGTGACCTTTCGAAGGGGAGGGGCATGGATCTCTCAGGAAAAAAAGAAAAAGAGAGAAAAAAGAGAAGAAGAAGAGAAGAGAGAAGAAGTAAACAAAGGCACAAGATATACAAAAAATGCTCCATTCCATATTCATTATTTAGCATACAAAAAATTCTAGCCTCAGAAGGGCAAGCCGAGCTCATTTACAATAACAAAAAACAAAAACAAGGAAAAGAAACATGGGGGGCCAACTATGTATCGCCCTTGGTTGGAGGAGCGACAGATTCCTCGTCGCCTACGCCAGCAACATCAAAGGGACCTCGATAACGTCTTCGGGGAGCAGGGAGTCTGAAAGCACTTGCAACTCGTCTACCCAAAAGTCGGGCATCATCTTCAGGAGCGCCTTTTTAGTGTCCTCAGTCCCCTCCAAGTAGGCCTCAAACCCGTAATCAGCCAGGCACTTCTGATACTCTGGAGTTTGTTGCCAAACGATGACAACTTTCTGGTAGTTGGCCTTGGCCTCCTCAGTTGCTACCTCGGCCTCTGTTGCCTGAGCCTTGGCATCCATTGCCTCCCTTCAGTCCTCCAATGTGCCTCCCTCCTCCTCGAACGCCATCAATGACTCCTAAGCCCAAGCGAGCCAAGCCTTCTCGGCCTTCAGATCATTCTCCACCATCTACCGGAGCTACTTCTCCTTCAGTAATCAGAGGGTCTCACTCGGGCTACTCTCGGTGGAGGCCACCCACACCTGCAACTATTCGCTTTTCTTCTCGAGCCACTACAGATGGTCGAGAATGAGATCGACCCGATCCCCCAGGCCGATGTAGTGGCAACAGACCTGTAGTAGATATCCCATTAGTAAAAGCAAAGCAAGAAGCTAAAAGATAACGAGGCAAAATTTGAATGGAACTCACCTCGGCCATGAAGTCCAGGCTCTCATCCCGAATGACAAGAGGATCAGTCTACATCATCTCAAACCGATCCCCCAGGGGGATCATCCCCTTGATCAGGGCCCTACCAACCCCCTCAGAGTTTATGGAATCCCCTTCGGGATGCCCCACCTGGGGTGGAATAAACAACTAAGGCACTCCACCTCCTCGGTTGGCTCTGAGGCAGAAGACAGAGTAGACGAAGGCCTGGTGGTAGGCCCTTTGGTAGACAACATCCTTGGAGCAATAGGTGGCTCCCTCTTCAGTTAGCCGCCCTTGGCTAGGCGGTCCTTGTGCACCAACCTTTTTTTTTGGAGGTGCAAGTGGCACCTCGGCTGGCCACTTCTTAGCAACCTCCCTTGGCTAGTTTCCCTCTGCTGGCCTCTTCCCTCTATTGCCCCTCCTCCATTGGGGGCTGGTGGTCGAGGGGTCC